TAAGAAGTAAACATAAGCAATTTTAAGCCAGAATTCAGAATAGGAAAGAAGTAAGCATGTTTGGATTTTAGAAAATGGAATATATGACAATAAAACATGTTACATAATTTCAACATAAATTACTACAACAAAAGCAAAATTAGTTTCCTTTTTAAGAAAAGTTAGAATAAGAGATAACTAACTTGCCTGTACATTTCCTAGAATTATATTCATTTATCTTCATATATTAAAATATATTTATTCAATTATATGTTATTTTATTGTAGATGGAGAGTATTTTGATTTTTTGGTAGTGCTTAGCCTATATTCACAACTCCAAAATCCTGTTTTGTGGCTTTCAGAGATTAATACATTTTAAAAGCAAAAATTTTGAAGGACATTGAATCCTAATTATATTTTTATTTATGAATCCCTTCAAACATCAAACATTTTTCAGAATGTACTTTTAGCCGGTGCCTGCTGGTGACCAGGTGTTCTTAAATTTAAGACCATAAAAACAGCTAGAGGGTTATAAAAGCCTGACTTTCAAAGTCAGATGCCCAGGGAGCCAGAAGATGTAATTTTTAGGGCATTTGGCACCAAAAAAAAAAACCAGTATGGTACACATAATCAGCTCAGATCTTTGTAAATTAGAGCCTACAAATGCAAGTAGAAAATTATTAGATGTATTTCAGTTGCCAAATTCTTGATGAACCTGAACCTACATGTTTAAATGCCTAATAGCTCAAAAACAAGTGGCCAAACATTCTACATTTTAATCAAACACATGTTTGGTCGTATTCATCAGTTTTAAAATAAGTACACATACACATCACATGGTTCATAATTCTTTCGAGGTTCTTTAAATTTAACAGGTGCCAAAGTTAGTTTCCTTCTTCATGCTTTCCCAAGACATTTTACCAGGCAAAAACACTAACTACAATGTCTATTTCAAAGTGAATTTTGATAATAAAAATGTGGGTTTCCTTTGGCTCGTGGTACACTTCAAATCATAATTTTTTTTCTTTCATTTTGGGCCATATATTTTTCTCAAGATATTATGAAAAAATACCTAATCATGAACTCAGGAACATAAATATCTTCTAATAGGAAGAATTCGTAATATTTCATATGCATATGAGTTTTCTTTAACAAGAACCACCTACCTCTGGAGGAACTGGAGAGGTGGAAGAACAAAGACAGGAAGAGAGACTCAAACTTCCAGTCAGTTTGCTTTTGTACTGACTGTAAGGCATTTCATAGAAATTGTATTTCCACAGAATCTGTATGGGTTATTTAAATGCAGAGGTAACAAAAACTGCTCCAAAGAAAAGTATATCATGAAGCCTAATGAATAAGTCATTCATTCATGTGCTCATTTATTTATAAATTTAATAAATATTAATTGCACACCTGTGCTTCTACCAGCGAAAGACAAAAGTGTGCAAATGCATGCAGAGGAGTGCAATAAGTCAAAGACAACAGTGTTCAATGACTGCTATGAACGAGAGATGCCCAGGTGATAAGTGAGCTCAGAGGTCAGGTCCTCAACTAACTTGAGCAGTTTCCAGAAGCGGTGACTTTGCACTCAGTCTTGCGTGTTGAGTACACGTCCACTCTGTGTGGAGTAAAGGGCATGGAGAAAGGGGAAGAAACACAATTTTCCTGTAAGACTCTGCAGTGTGTAGAAGAAATAATGCTATCTTTTCTTTGTGGAGCTTCTAAAAGAACATTTACCATGTGTGCAGTAAATGTGGGAAACTGGAGAAAGAACGGTGAGAGGTTATGAAAAACTGTTTGTTATTTGGTAGAATTTTAATTTTATCCATCCAGAAATCAATGTGAAAGCATTGAAAATTTTGACCTTATTTGTACTTCAGGAAGAACAGACCAGGAAAACATAAGAAAGCTGAATTAGAAAGAGAAAAAAGGGACAAAACTCTCATTAAAGGCAGAATCTTGTTAAAAGATTCTGAACTTGCATGGGTGAATGTAGGAAAGGGGCTAGATATTTCAGATCAGAGGTCAGCTGCATGTGGGCCCTGAGAAAGAAATGTTTACAAGAGACTCTCTGCCACCAATTGCAGTTTGCAGTATGGGAAGTTGATGTGAAGTGCTATGCTCTCAGAAATACACAGAATCAGTGAGATAAGAACAATCATGAAAACCACAACTATCCATTCAAAGGACTGTGTGTAGCTAAAAAAGAAAGCAAAACATGATCTTTATTATGGAAACTATCAAATGTTTATTTAAATTTCCATTTAAAGTATTTTAAGTAAAAATATATACAAAAACAGATATACAAAGGTTGCAGCAACTAGAAGCATGAGAGGTACATATATATATACACATAAACACAACTAAAATTAAGTTCAATGCAAAGTTGAGTGACATCATATTGCACCAAAATTTATTCCATACAAAAACACATGCATCAAGAGGTTCCATCAGATGAAAGCACACTTATTTCATAGCATTTTACCACTTACACAAATAGCCCATAAACACCATCTGGCAGTGTGACTGCTGCACCAGATCTCTCCCCAGAGGGAAATCATTTAGCCGTAGAAGAATCCATTTTATTTCACATAGCTCATGCTGGTCTATGCATCAGTGCCAAGGAACCCTAAGAAACATGACACAATCCACAAATGAAAATCCCTTTACACCATTTATGTTTTCGTAGTTTAGTATATTACTACTCCTAATGTGCGTGGAATGTAGATGCAGAAAAGCAATTTTCCTCTTTAAGAATTTATCAACTGACATAAGACATTGTGTTACAATTTTATAAAACACCCACAATCACCTGCCAAGTTTCATTACCATAATGCCAGAGTGGACAAGAGAGGACCATTTAGGATTTTGAGGATCACTCTTCCCTAGCTGGATCTTTCTGTCCCTGTATTTTAGATCACGGGCCAAACCTCCCATGACCCTGCAATTTGGGGAATGGTTCACAGTCATGACAAATGCATTCCAGACCTAAGTTAGGAACTGAGCTGGTCTGTAAATTATGTTTAAGGAAAGATCAAAGAGATGACTACCAGCATAACCCTGATGAGTAACATGCCACCACCTGATTCTTTTGCTGCACATTACTGGAACTTGCCATAGAATATAAAGGCATTTAAATACATTCATCTGTAGTACCTAGACATATGTTAATGTGAACATACAAACACATACATATGAATTTTTCACCCCTTCACAACTGAAAAAGAAGCTACTTATTAAGTCAGATTTTTAGACAAGGCTCTAAAAACTCAGTTTAACAAAATAATCCCAGATACACTTACAATAAAAATACCAGAAAGACATCATAAAGTAAATTCTGAGTCAATAATGAAAAACCATTTCTACCAGTGCATCACTACCATGTAATCCATTCTAAGATAGGTAAGAACCAAGTTCTGTAAAATGTATAGTCTAATCCTGTCGGAAAAGTAACACAAATTAAGTTCATCAAATAGTCATACAAGAGACCGTTTGTCTTGTCTTTTTCTGACATATGCTTATTATGTCAGAAACCACAGGTACCCAACATTTAGCATCAGTAGAACATGTCTGATGCATGTTTGCTTCCCTGTTTGGCTTATGGAGAAAACAATGTATTTCATAGTAGTAACTTATACATTCTTAACATGTCTGATGCTTATGCTTGCAAAGTCCCCAAAAGTTGAGATATGGCACTGAACATTCATTACTATTGTACTGTAATCCATATACAGAAAAATTTGGGGCCAATATTCATGTTTAAAATACCTAAATTTTAAAGCAAAATATACCCTAATATAACAATACATAACAATGTATTGTAGGAGTTACCTTAAAAGGGTTAAGTGTTACTCCACTCTCTGAATATGGATAACATTAAAAATAAACCTAGTTTTGAGAGCTATTAAAAGCTTCGTTCCAGATGTATAGCAGTAGCAATAACATTCACAAGGCAAACTTATCAGTAACAAAATTTCTCCAAGGAGAGGCTTAGATTATTTAAGGGTGCTGTAGGATTCTGGTGGCTTGTGCAATAACCATATCCATATATATTGGTTTTTGCTTTCAAAGCATTAAACAAGTGTTATGGAGTAGTGTTTGAAATAATTAGTATAAATACTAATTTAATGTAAATTGTTTCTATTCTGTTATGGGCACATGTTCATTTGAAACACTGTGTTATATTGCTCAAAGTATTTTTCTGCTTTAATAAAGCATTCTCTATATTTTTAAAAAAATAAGGAGTTTAGAATAAAAGAAAATTTTGAAATATGACAGCTCAAACCTAGAACGAAGGAGTCACATTGCATTGTTTTGTGGTGTAACAAGACAGTACTTCCAAACATACATCTAACAAGGTTAATTAGTAGGAATGTGTGAGGTCCAACTTCACAATCCACATTTACATCAGGGCACTCATCGCCTGACCCAGTTATACAGCTCTACCTTCCAAAGGCTAACACATTTTTCCATAAATGCTGTGCAAATACCCTGCTGCACCAAGTGCTCAAAATACAGCTACCCCTGCAAAAGAGATAACTGTGCATTAGTCGTGTGTGTGTGTGTGTGTGTGTGTATCTTTCAGAGGAAGCTTCAACAAGAGGTAATAAGTACATAGCAAGCAGGCTTACTAACCAATAAATTAATTCGCTAGAAAGTCACTTTTGTTCTTTTAATCAGTAGTGTATGAGTTGAGAAAAATGTTCAGCTTTCAAACCACTGCAGCCATCTGTATGGCTCTGATACCCAATGTTCCTTGGTTTTTTGAGAGAATGGGATCTATTAAAGCACGAAGGCAATTATTGCTGATAGATATGTACCCTTGACCCAAGTTCACTAGATGGTAGACATGTAGCTGATAGGTATTTGGAGACAAAACCATCCTCTGTGCATTTTAAAGCCAATGGTAACAAAGACTGGTGTGAGGAAAGCTCTCATAAAAATAACCTTTAACAGACTCATATTAAGCAAATCTGTGTAACTGTGTAAATTCAAAGTAAAATTCACTTCCTACCTAGAGGACATAATGCAAAAAAATAAAACTAATGTAATCATTAACAAATTCAAATAATGGGGGACTAGTCCAAAAATCAAATTTTTTTTTTTTTTTTTTTTTTTTTTTTTTTTTTGACAGGCAGAGTGGACAGTGAGAGAGAGAGACAGAGAGAAAGGTCTTCCTTTTGCCGTTGGTTCACCCTCCAATGGCCGCCGCTGCAGCCGGCGCACCGCGCTGATCCTGGCAGGAGCCAGGAGCCAGGTGCTTTTCCTGGTCTCCCATGGGGTGCAGGGCCCAAGCACCTGGGCCATCCTCCACTGCACTCCCTGGCCATAGCAGAGAGCTGGCCTGGAAGAGGGGCGACCGGGACAGAATCCGGCGCCCCAACCGGGACTAGAACCCGGTGTGCCGGCGCCGCAAGGTGGAGGATTAGCCTATTGAGCCACGGCGCCGGCCGCCAAAAATCAAATTAATATTATTATCAGAGGATAAACAAGGAGAATATCTCATGACATACAGAAAGTTGGTAAAGTGTCTGTGAGAGCATGATTTACATTTTTTTGCATCTGTATTCAATTTAAAAATAGTGCATTTAGTTTTAGAAACTAATTTGAAAATTCAACAAAATTAAGAAAGGATCCCTTAAAAAATTGACTATTAAAATATCTTTTATAAGTACAGTTCTAATAAGCTAGAGCCTACCTACAGGTCACACTTTTGGTATTATACAGATAGAGAGAGAGAGAGAGATTTTTTTGAAATACTGTTTACAAGGAAATTAATTAATGATATATAAATAATATAAACAGAAGCTATCAAGATGACTCAACAGCTACTCTAATTCAAATCCACTAAGGGTTTTCTTGCCAGTTATTCAATGACATGCTTTAATTCTTGACTTTGAACCCTTAAGGAAGTAAAATGTAACTGTAAACATTATCAGCACCAACGTACTGCATATCATGTGGGGCAAAATGAAGCAAAATTATATTCAAGTAAAATCAAATTTCTTGAGTCATCTGCATTCAAATCCAAAATCTCTCTATATGAGTATTTCTTTCCAAATTAGTTAAAAGATTTACAATTAGAATCCAATCCATTGTCTATCATTCAAAATGAAAAAATAAAGTATGACAAGGGTGAAACTGTATCTTTACATATTGCTATATCTTTATATTTCACAAAATAAATATAATGATGAAGGCACTCAGTTATATATAGATATTTAAATTAAACACAATTTTATTACTTAAATTATATCCTACAAATACCCCATGTTTATTACTAAAAGAAAAATAATGGGAGTTATTGCTTCTTCACAGGGATAGATGAAGATATAGTGGGGCCAGAGCGATAAACAATTTTACTAGTCTTCTTCAAGAAAATTAATACAAAATTCCTAATTCAAAGTTAGGTACAGGAAATTGGGAGGGACATGTCTGAGTGAAAGGCTGGGCAACTTATGTTTGGGATATCCACCATGCATAGCAGACAGTCCTTAATTTTTTTTTCTGATCATATAGCATTGTATAACATCAAAGTATTGTTATTTCCAATGCTATCCTGTCTTTTATTTCCTACTACTCAGACCTTCAGTTTTTCATCTTTTCATAACCTACAACTCAATTACAAGAGATTGATTTTAACAAATGTCAGAGGTGCTAAACTTCTTAGCATTATACATTATCTGCAAATCAAGATAAAATAATGAGTTTCTTGAAGACTGATTACAGTTTATGAAGAATTCTCTTGTATAATTATATTCACCTTAACCATCTGTTGATATGTCAAATAGTAAGTGGGAAAACAGTTTTACCAGACATATAAGACATTCTGGAAATATTTTTCAATATGTATATTTTAATGACAAAGAAACTGCCTTGCATTGTCATGCAACTTAATCAACTGTCCAAATTTTGTACCAGAAAGCTGGGGGTACTTCTGGACAAGTGTACATGCAAGTAGTTGGCACACACTTGACTTTTAGGTTTGGAACTGGAGTTAGGCATCTTTTCTAGGACAAATCTTTCATCTCCTAGAGAAAGAAAAGAACAGAGCCTGCTTCCAGCTGACCAAATCACCATTTATAGTGATCCAGTTTTCTTTATTTGATCAAAGAAAAATAATCTAACACTTTAAAAATGGGGTCAGAATAGCATTGTGAGAAAAATTCTTCTAAAAATATTCATAATTGTGTAAAGAGTATATTTTTATTTGTTAAAAAATCAAATTATATTTTAGATTTGGAAGTCTTTACTAGATCTGTAAAAATCAAAATTAAATCTTTGAGACTCTAAGTACTCAGAAAAAGAATATTGGATAATAAAATATATTTGTTATCTTAAATAGTACTGGCCACTTGTACTTTTTGTGTTACACTCAGAGCATTTATGAGGGTGCTACAAAAAGTTCATAGACAGTGAAATTAAAAGGTAAGTTAATTTTGGTGTAAGAAAATTGAAATCCAAGCAAAATATTTTTGTAATATGTGTTTTATACAAGTTTTTTTGAGACTCCCTTTTGTATATTATTTTAGAAATATGAGAAACATTTTACTTTCTATAAAAATAAGACAGGAAGGAGGAGGATGGGTGGGAGCGTGGGCAGGAGGGAGTGAAGCGTGGGAAGTATCACTATGTTCCTAAACCTGTATATATGAAATACATGAAATCTGTATACTTTAAATAAAATTTTAAACATTTTTCAAGAAATATGCATAAATAATCATGCAAGAGCTTCTGAATTAGATATGCTTCACATGTCCCCAGTTTAGACAAAAATTAAGAATATTGATTCTGCAATTAAAGAAATCTTTTGTCTTCTCATGGTGTATCCTAAAAATAAGCTGAAGTACACATAACCCCTACCCCATTTTCTTTTATATTCATCAGAAACCTTAAAGGAATACAAACTTCATACATTTCATAATTACAACTTTAGGAATATGGTGATTTTTCCCACCACTCCTGCCCTCTCCATTTTCTTAATTACTAGATGACTTTGGCTAAAATGAGATTCCATTGGCATTAGAAATTTAACTCTACAAAAATCCCTCTTGAAAATAAGAGAGAAATGCATATGTATTCCAGTTAGCTTGTAATGACACATTTAAAGAAATATTAGAACCAAAAACAATCAAATAAATGAGCCAAATCTACCACTGTCAATATTTGCACATTAACTTCAGCTCAGGAAGAGTTTCCTTGTACAGATTCAATGGGCCTAGACTGTGTAAAACATAGGAAGATACAAAGTGTTTTACTTCTACCAATACATCCAAGGGAGAGATGCTGAGAAATGGAAAATGTATATTTTAAATAAGGACTGCAGATAAATCTGGAAAACCTGGAGCTAAGAGTAAAATAAAGAAAATTTTTAGAGATGGTGTTGTGACACAGCAGGTTAAGCCACAGCTTGCAATACCAGCATCATATATAAGACTGCAGGTTCAAGTCTCAGTTACTCCACTTCTGAATCAGCTCCCTACTAACATACCTGAGAAAGCATCAGAAGATGGTCCATATCCTGGGTCCCTGCCACCCACATGAGGACCACTATGAAGTTCCTGGCTCCTGGTTTCAGTTTGGCCCAGACCCGGCTGATGCAGCCATTTGAACAGTGAGCCAAGGACAGCACTGTGGCCCAGTGAGTTAAAGCTCTGGCCTGCAACTCTGGCATCCCATATGGCCACAGGTTCAAGTACTGGCCTAGGAAAGCAGTGGATGGGCCCTTGCACCCATGTGGGAGACATGGAAGAAGCTTCTGGTCCCTGGCTTCAGATCAGTTCAGCTCAGGCCATTGTGGCTAGTTGGGGAGTGAAACAGCTCTACCTCTCACTGTTACTCTTATCTTTCAAATAAATAAAATAAATCTTTTAAAAAAATGAGTGAACCAGCAGATGGAAGATACTTCTTTCTCTCTCTCTCTTTCACTGCCTTTCAAATAAATAAATAAATATTTATTATTTAAAAAGAAATTGATAATAATTCCCTTAGTGACTCAAATTATAGGTTTAGCTTAAAAATCAGCAATCTTGGATATATATTAAATTTATCAGGATCAAAAATCGAAATTAATGAATTGGAATTGCTTCAAATTATAAATCTCCATCTCAATTTTGGGTAAATTTCAGTGAACTCTATGTCTACTTTTAATGATTTTAATCATTGTAATTCCTTCAAAAATTCTTATTTTGAAATGAACGAAAGTTTAAAGATGATTATGACTAACCATTTAATCTTAGGTAGTTATAAATGATAAGTAAAACATTTTATCATGTTAGCTTCCTTTGAAAATTCCACAATATTCTCTAATCCTGGCATAATACATTTCAGCACACATCCATGCACAGTTTCTTCTTCTTTCAATGAACTTACTAACAGTTATCTCTTTTGCAAGTTGAATGATAATTAAGGTGAAGAAATTACTGACTAAGCCTAGACATTGACATGGGAAATTTTTAGAAGCATCAGTTGTAAATCTTATTTAGCAGTGACATTTCTTCCTCAATTTTTATGTAAATATATGCCTTTTCCTAATTTATTTGGACGTTTTTATCCAAAGAGATATTTTAGCAGAATACAAAATGTATAAAGGAAATTTACACACTGTCAAAATTCATCACCATGTAAAAATAGCAATAAGATTAAAAAAATTGTTCAGAATTACTAACATGGCATATAGTATGATTATAGGAATAGATTGGACATTTCAGACATTTCCCTTGTTCATGATTTCTCTCATACTATTATAATTTATTAGCTATATAATATAAATGCATGTGTGTGTGTGTGTTTGTATTCATCAGAGGGTAAATTATTAGTGAAGCAGATGGTATCCTTCAGAGGATTTAACACCAAAATGACACCTGCCCTAAGAAACATTACAAACTTCCCTGATCAAACTGACTGACATGACAACTAAATGGCACATAACCGTGGAACTTCCTGATAATGACTGAAAAAAAAACATGTAACACAGTAAATTCTCAAAGATTTTTGCTCAAACATAAATGTCAGATTTCTCATAAGTAACAGCCCCCTAGAAGCTCTTCTTTAATGTATTCAAATAAGTAGGCCTACTCTCTCTGTCCCTGTCTTTTGTTCAAAATGCTCTAGGTATAATCCATTTAAAGATCAGTGATAGCTAAATTGTTATTTAATGGGAAGCAATGCAATGCCAATATAAAATAATTTTTCTATCTTCTTTGTCATAATGATGTGTACTATACTTTTTTCAGAAGAATAGAAAACACTTTTCACAGTATAGTAATCTACAGTATATAAAACCGTGTTTACAAATCCATATATACAGAAAACATCTCAGTTTTCAATTTGAAGGTGCTTAACTTTGATAAGATATGTTGTAGAGAATGACCATTCAAGTAACCATCCATTGCCTCAGTCTTTCTCCTTAACCCTAACAGAGACTCAAGAATTATGTGAACTCATGGTTCAATTGCCTATTAGCTTTCTATAACTACATGGAGTCATAACTAAATTTCTTAGAAATTAGTTTCAATACACTAAAATATATGAATAAAAATAATTGAATCCTTTAGTACACCATCAAGTTTCAATTTTCTGGATTTTCAGAAAATGCAGTAAATATCCATGCTGTGTCTTTGCTCAAGTGCAAATTGCCAAGATTTCCACTTCATTAGTTTGTTATTTACGACAGTCTTCTTCAGGTACAACTTCCAGTATTATCTGTAATGTTCTGGTTATTGTATCTACAAAGAAATAAAAGACAAATTAAAAATGCATGGAAATTAGAAATGCATAAAAACAGTAAAATATGAATTATTTTAGATTGTATATGGAAAATACACAATTGCCTTTTTCAAAGAGTACTTTCAAGAATTATTGACTTCATTAGAATCCTATCATGCTCAATTAATTTATTTGCTACTTCTGTAACTTCCTGTGATGGCTTCTCAGTAAGAACATGTTAATATTCTATATTCAAATAGGGACTTTTATTCATGACAAAAGACTGAAAATATTTTGAGATAATTAAGCCAAGATATAAGTAAATGTCCAAAAACATTCTGCTTATTCCATTTAAAATTGGTTTGTTCTTTTTGCAACTATGAGATCATTACCAATCCTTCAGAAGAATCAAGAGGAGAATCAGAATATGATAGCCAGACTCGAATTTGTAGTGTCTTATGGAGCAAATCATTTTATCTCCCTGAGTTTTATTTGCCTAGCAGGTAAAATACAAGATTTGGAGTACATCATCGGTTCCCAGAGTGTGGACTCCAAACCGGTAATATTATCATCACTTGAAATATTGGAAATGTATCTCTTTTTTTTATTTGAGAGGTAGAGTTATAGACAGTGAGGGAGAGACAGAAAGAAAGGTCTTCTTTCCGTTGGTTCACTCCTCAAATGGCCGGCTCTGTGCTGATCTGAAGCCAGGAGCCAGGTGCTTCCTCCTGTTCTCCCATGAGGGTGCAGGGGACCAAGCACTTGGGCCATCCTCCACTGCCTTCCTGGGCCATAGCAGAGAGCTGGACTGGAAGAAGGGCAACCAGGACTAGAACCCGGCACCCAGGAAATGTATCTTTTTAAGCCTAACCCTATACCATATACTGGAACCCAAAAGTAGAGCCTAGCTGCCCATGACTCTGATAGATACTAACATGTTAGAACCACAGGGCTGGACGATTTCTAAGGCCATTTAATATCAGCATCCCCAGAATCCTGTGATCCCATCTTCCAAGGATGTGAGTTTTTGTTTGCTTCTTATCTTGGTCATCAATCCCTACACAACTTTTTCATATTTCTACTTGTTCTGGAGCAGTCTAGTGCCTATCTACCTACTTGATAGTTTCCAATCCAGGTCATCTTTTTTATCTGATTCTTGACATAGCCCCTTCCAAGCAATAATTATAATGTATTTGATAATACCACAAAAAGGTATTTAGTTTCATCCTGTCTGTATAATCATGTTCCCAAAGTTGTTTTTCTCAGCACCCTAATATGTGTAGTTAGCATTAATTGTAAAGGGTCCAGTATATTTCTGGTCAAATGTTTTCTAAATAAATTGTATTTTCTTACAGTGCACTCTTCACATGGAGATACAAGAGGAGAACTCGGGGTAATTAAATCTCATATTGACAGAAAAGGTAAATGGTAAAACAACTCTATGAAAACAGAAATTTTTTTAACTTTCAATTTACATTTTAATCACAGGCTCAATCATCTACTTAATAAACATTTCAACAAATAGAAAGACTTCTATTCTGCAGAAGTATGGAGAAGGGCTATTAACGACAATCAAATCTCAAGATATGAATTTCACTCAGATCAATCACATTTTTTGCACTCTATATATTAGCTACCACAGATCAGAGAAAAAATGCGCTATTTGTCTTTTTGGATCTGATTTATTTCACTAAGCATGATGGTCTCTTGTTGCATACATTTTGTTGCAATAGACAGGTTGTCATTCTTATTTAAGGCTGAGTGTATTCTATCATGTATATATAACATATTTTCATCATCCAGTAATCAGTGGATAGACATTGTACATAAGACTCCAGTAGCACAGGCAATAGAAGCAAAAATAGACAAGTGAGATTACATCAAATTAAGAAGCTTCTGCAAAGGAAACACTCAACAAAGAGGCGACTGACAGAATGTTAGAAAATATTTTCAATCTATACATCTGATGAAGAATTAATATCCAAAAATATATAAGAAGCTCAAGAACATAACAAAACAAAACAAACAACCCAGTTAAGAAATGGGAAAAGGACATAACCAATAATTTTTCAAAGGATGAAATACAAATGGCCACCAGACGCATGAAAAAATGCTCAGGATCACTAGCCTTCAGGGAAATGCAAATAGAAACCACAATTAGGTTTCACCTTATCCAAGTTAGAATGGTCATCATTCGAAAATCAAAAAATAACAAATGGTGGCAAGGATGTGGAGAAAAGGGTACATTAATACATTGTTGGTAAGAATGTATAGTACAACCATTATGAAAGACAGTAAGGAGAGTTCTCAAAAATATGAAGATTGGTCTACCATATAACCCAGCCATTTCACTACTGGGAATTTACCAAAGGAAATGAAATCAGCATGTGAAAGAGTAATTTATACCCCCATGTTTAGAGCAGTTCAATTCACTATATCTACGATACAGAAAACAGACTTTTGGAGAAAGGGAGATGCAGCTTCCATGAGGCGTGAAAGGGCAAAGGCTATCTGAGAGTAGGTAGAGAAAGCAAAATGGATTACACATTTGCAAAGCTCAAATGAAAAGCAGCAGACCTAAAGACACATCCTCCGCAGCTCTTCTTCCTGCAGAGGTCCTACTGCAGCCTCCTGAGCTAAGCTCCTCAATGGCTGTGTTCTGTACTCACCTCTGCTCCTCTACTCCCAACACAAAGCCTTTCTTCTATATTTTGGGACTCCTGGCCCTTTGTCTTCTTAGACACCTTGCTCCTCCATATCATACTGCATCCATTACAGACAAATGGGAGCAACTAAGACCCTGAAGCATTCCTGCTGTGTTATTCTCAGTTCCATAGCTCAGTTGGGATCCTCCATTCAGCAGCACAGAGAAGCCATAGAATCTCTCACCTGCTCTTGCACATGTAGTCCTGGCTCTTTCTCTGCATTCAGTCACCCCTGTTATCAATCTCCCCTGTTGCTTTCTTATGCTCTGTCTTGGGGCTTTAAGATTTGATTGACTATCGTTAAAAATGAAGGTTTCTGCAGAGGGTAGATGTTGGTTCATGAGTATCTTACTGGAGTCACAACAACTTGCCCAGCTAGGTTATCTTACAGGCCTGGAGTAAGACAGGCATGTTTAATAGAACCAGACAAGCCTCGATGGAAGCTTCCTCCACGCCCAGGAAAATTTCAGAGCATGTGGCACTTGATTGCCAAGCCTACATTCAGGCCCATGGTAAGGCTTTTGGCTTTGGGGGTAACCAAACCCATGATAGTACTTCTTTGAACAAAGGTGAGCTGGTATGAGTCTGCATTGGGGGTTTTAAGTAACTACAAGCTATAGAACAAAATTGTAGCATTTTTAGCTTTTTTTAAATACTGTTCTTGTTCATTGTTTATTTCTGAAACAATTGAGACAACAACTAAAATTGCAAAATCTGATTGACCCAACACCTGATTAATCCTACACCTGGTTCCACCATGGGACCAAAAGCCCAGATGGAAAGTTTGGGAAGTAATGCAAAGGCAATCTGCTCTGGAAGTCATTTTAGGAATAATAGGATGTGTTTTCTCAAAGGTTTCCTGCACATTATCTCTTTTTATCCCTATGGTGAAGATAGTCTGAGCCCCTTGGAAGTGTAGGTGAGCTTAATTCATTGACAATGTTGTACTGCAGTCTTGGTGAAACTTCGGTCAAGTGCATTACCCAGTTTTCAGTGACATATAATATAAATGAATTACTTTGACTCACTGCAGCATATGCTTTTAGACTGGAACTGCAAAGTCACTGACCAAAAAAGATGGATTATAATCACTCTGCTGGTGTGGCCCAGAATCATCTTTTAGAATCAAGGATTTTGTTTAAATAAGGTTGCCCTCTACATCTCTCCCTGAGCAAGTGGCACCGATTTCCAATCACTCCCCTCAGTCTCAGCTACAATAGGGTTTGGCTGACAGAGGCAAGCAAGTGAAACAGCTGCTGCAAGCCCTGGCAAATCTGGGCCAGCACTAATATAGGTTTGCAGGTCTTGCTACTTCCACGTTTTTGCATATGACAGTAGGGGGTGGGGTCTGCCCCTTTCTCCTCCTCCTATGAGAACATTGTATTTCCATAAATGCATAAATAATATAAATTACCAATACAAAGGGCAGGAAAAATCTTTCTGTGTATCTGACTACCCCCTTAAGAGCACACTTTCTTTTCACCCTGGAAATGCTATCACACAAAAAAGTGGTTCAATACTGGCATCCTGTGGCCAGAAAAATTCATCAAATTTCTGAACAGTCTTAGCTCCTTGGGTTCTGAATGTTCCCTGGCTGTCAGAACTAGGCAGCTTTTCACCATTTTCTGAATGCTGCTTTCATTTTTCAGGAAAGCAGCCACAGTAAGATGCATTTTGATAGACTGTCATTTTCACAGAGCCCATCTACTCATATAGATTAGGGTAAAAATAAATGAAAATATAAAGGCTAAAGAATTCTGCCGAACAAAAGAATATGAAATAAAACCACTGAACAAACCGCTCCAAGCAGAGGCTCTTTTTGGCTTGCAAGTTCACACTGAGCTTCTTTCTAACAAAAAGGACATCGCTGGAGAATGGACAGGGCTGGTGGTTCAGGACTCGGATGTTTTGCACATCCATCTGTGTGTGTAAGTGCTTTAGGGCCAAAGGCTAAGAAATTACTTACTATCATAGTAATAAATATTATGATTTTTCTTTATTTTACTACAAGAATGCTGCCTAAGAGGAAAATCAACCAAATTACAAAGGATTGTTGCTTCTTGCTACTCACTTTCCAGGCGGCTATAAAGATAAAGAGTTCAATGATAGCAGTTGAAAGGCAGAATTGCCATGCACCCTGGTAAGATTTAATGGCATTTTTGAGAACCAAATAACCGTTATGGGACTACTCCATTGCTGCTAGTTTCACAAATGGCTACCACTAAATTCAGAGGCTTTGGAGATGTTCAAAACATCATTAGAGACAGAAAAATAGAAAGAAAAAAAAACCTTCAAAATGACCTAACCATGGAAAGACAAGGAAGAGGCATCAAACAGGGAAACTACTTGTGGGTGTGCACTGACAAGGAATGGTCCAGAATGCATGCGTTTGAGCAAAAGGAAAGAACTTTCAGGGTCTGACTACCAACAGGAGGAACAAAATCACCACTAAATGAGATAGAGCAATGAACTGTCAATCATGTTTCTTGTTTCACTCTCAGATTAAACTCAGTTGTTTGTTCATAAATTCTCTTGATTTTCCAGGGTGCTCAGAGATTTGAACCGTCTCTATCTAGGATTGGAAATAGATGAAGATCTCACAGTGATGAGTGGTTATTCTCTCCTAAATATCAGCAATGAGTAAGGCAATTCTAATGGTAAATAGTGTTTCACTGACTTTTTTTCCCTTTGGAATGGGTCCTAAATTTAGTATGCATGACTGAGAAAGCCTACCTAGAAATATTTCACAAAAACTAAAGTGAGATAACAAGAAATAAAGATCAAATACTTGGTTAAGGCAATCAGTGCACCGAGCTAGTTTTAAAGAATATAACATGGACCGGGGTACTTTAAAGTTTCCTAGAGGTACAGATATTGTGGTGCAGTGGGTTAAACTGCAACTTGGGATGCTTGAATTCTGTATTCCAGCGTTGCAGTCCACCTCTGCTTCGCAACCAACTTTCTGCTAACATGCACTAGCGGGGGAAGGAGGGCGGGCAGAGGGTCCCTGTCACCCACAAGAGAAACCCAGATAGAGTTCCTGGCTCTCTGCTGTTGCAAGGATTTGGGAGAGTGAACCATTAGATGGAAGATCTCTCTCTCTCTCTCAAACACATGAAAATAAACATTTAAAAATAAAACAATAAAGTCTGTGGAAAATGGAATTAAAAATAAGTTTATTTTACTGCAAAAATCTTTTGAAACCCATGCAGGGTTTTCTCATAATGTACATTTTCCACAAAGTTGTAGAAGACCCCAGATATGGTACATGTATTTGTGGAGTAATGTTGTCATCTATGGAACAAAATCCAGGTACAAAGAGTAGACAGAATAAGGAATAAAGGTCTCATATGCCAGTTAGAAGCTCTTAGAAAGTAACAGCAGCACTCTGCTTTAAAGGACTGGCCTCTGAATTAGTTTGTGTAGTGCACTTGAGATTCAAAATGTATGAAACTTTTTTCTTTTTTGTTTTTCAGCAACACTGACATTATTTATTAATAATTTTACCAGAAATCTCTCTGAACTTTTAACTAGGACTTTAAAAAATTAATTATGGTGAAGTAAGTACAAAGGGGAAATACAAAAACTGTGTTCTAAATTCACCAAATTCAAGAGCAAGGACATATCTGCTCCTCTGGCCCCTTTTTCATTTTACCTCTCTCTCTATATTCTGCCAGGCACCCAAAGCTTGAAACAGCACGGACTTAGAAGTCCAGTGGATGTGGGTTCAAATTCTAACTCTATGGTTTAAAAATCTGTAAAGTCAAAAATAAATTCTCTGTTTCCCTGAGCCTTCACATGGATAAGGGAAAAAATCTCATCTTAAATCTGATCTTGTTGAAGATTGAAATTTGAAATGATGGTGATGGAGGGGAGCAGACTCAGCAGAGTCCCAGCCAGAGAGATAAGATTTCAACAGACTCTTCTTAAATATTACTCCTACCCACTGATCAACTGTATTTTCTCTCCCTTACCTTAACTGGTAACCAAGTCCTGCTGGGTTTTTGTCCTTAATATTTTTCCCTTTCTTAATATCTTTCCCTGTTTCTCAAACCCTGTGGAGAAGGCCGTGTTCAGACCCTCCTCAATTCTCACCAGGATTGCTGCAGGGACCACTAAACCTGACTGACTTCAGCCTCAGCCATCTTTAATCCATTCTCATGGACCCCAGTGTGATTCTCTAAAACAGGAAGCTGCCTGAGTTGTATTTCCAGCTTTTCAATTCATATCTGTATGATTCAGAATAAGTGACATGAATTTGCCCATTATAATTCAATATCTATAAAATGGGGATAATAATTTCTCCAACCCCAGAAGGATGCAAACACATAGAAATCACACCATGAATGAGATTGTTCTTCTTTCTTTCATTGTTCTTGCTGTTGTTAACACCTTTCTGTGATACACAGTTCCCTTGAAGGTACAACCATGATATTTAAGACATTTTGAACTCCACAAAAAATTCTATGTCACTCATCAAATTATATGCTATGATATAGAATCACTAAGCACCATACAACCCAGAAGGAAAATTACTAGGCTAGGAAGGGATTCCAAAGAGAAGATAGGTCTTTTTTGGAACTATTGATAAATTTCTATCTAAAGTGATTCTCTTAAGAAGTGATTAGAGCCCCAACTAAATATCCAGGAAGGAGTCAATGGTTGTACCCTAAATGTCCTTCCTGCTTTCTCCTCCTTGGTTTCAATTAAGATGCAATAATAAACTAACACTAGCAAAGGTGCCACTTACATTTTTAAATTTTGAAATATGTTTGTCAAAGAGGTACACCTTTGTAAGTTTTCTACAGCATGGTCTCTATTTTAAGATTTAGTTAGTTAGTAGTTAGTTCAAAGTCAGAGAGAAAGAAACCTTCCATCTACTGGTTCACCCCCCAGATGGCTGTAACAGCCAAGGTTGGGCCAGTCTGAAGTCAGGAACCAGGAGCTTCTTCACGGTTTCCCACATGGGCAGCAAGGGCCTAAACACTTGAGCCATCTTCCACTGGTTTGTCCAGGCCATTAGCAGGTACCTGGATCGGAAGTGGAGGAGCTGAGACACAAAGCCCATTTGGGATGCCAGCTCCACAGGTGGCAGCTTTACCTGCTATATCACAATGCCAGCTCCTTCTACAGCCTGGTTTCTCACAAGCTCCTGAAGCTGCTTAAAACTCTTACCTGACAAGGGCTAGCATTTGGCACAGTGGTTAAAATGCTGATTGGCATATACATTCCGTATCAGAGTGTCTGTGTTTGAGTCCCAGCTACAGTTTTGATCCCAGCTCCCTGCTTATGCTCATCATGGAAACTAGCAGGTGATAGGTGAAGTAGCTGGGTCTCTCACATGAGCGACTTGGATAGAGCTAGGGGCTCCTGGCTTTGGCCTGGCCCAGCTCTAACTGTTGTGGGGGAGAGATAACTCTGTCTGTCTGTCTGTCGCTCTTTCTGTTTCTCTTCTTTCAAACAGACAAAATAATCAAATTAAAACATTTAAAAAAAAATATCTTACCTGACATTCTTCGAAACCACTTGGGTTTCTTGTCCCATATTATAAAGAGATAGTAGGCAGGGACCCCACTCAGAGTGATGACGAAGCCAATCCCTGTACTGAATGGGTCCGAATAAAGGGAAAGGGCAACCATGAAGAAGCAGGTGAAGGAGAACAAAGCTGGGATGAAGAGTGGTACCTGGAACACAGCACAGAAAGAAGTCACTTAGACCAACACGTCAGGGGACAGGCTTCAGCCATGTGCCCAGCGACAGGCACCAACCTACCTGACCTCAGTAGCAAAATCTCTTTCCTGGGGCACAGAGACTGTACAAAACATGTTCCCTTATATTTAATTTAATTTATGTTTAAATCTTTGGATAGAACAGAATCTAAGGACAACAAAGGGCATTTCATTAGAGATACCGTATTTGAGTTATTTTAGTAACTATATGCCATTATGATTTATGCTTTTGATTTTAAAAGATTGGCTCTCTGATAATTATGATTAGAATCCACTTTAATGTGGAGTCAAGAGCACCGGCTGCTTGTTACATGTTAAAGCCTTTCAGTGTATATTGATTTTCTGTTGAGATTCACAACAAGAACTGACAGAAATAAAACAGGCCAACTCCTATTCAACCGCTAATAAAGACGCCGCCAGCATTAGGCAATGAATATAATTAGAAACAAATTCTGTCAACATGACTGACAACATTATCTGTGCTATTTCTTAAAAGCAAATACATAGCGAGGTCAGATCAATCCATGAATGTCCAACGCTGAAGGGGACGGCAAGCATGTTCTTCAGCGATCCCCAAAGGAAATGCTTGCTTACGGCAAATGGGCATTCTACTATGTGCTAAATGCATGGATCTTTGCTTTCCTATGAACTCATGTTCTAAATACACCTTGTATATGTTGTTTCTAGAGTGTGTAATGCAGAGAAAAAGCAAAGCAACAAGTCACAACATGTGTTTAACAGCACCTGTTGTGTAAAATAGCATCCTTGTAAAAGTTTGAACTAATAAGTGTCTGCCTCACTCTTTCTCAGCATGGCCAGTCTTCAGCAGACACACACATCCCACACTCTGCACGGAATCAGGTCACTGGACACATTCATGAAATATCAGCATCGCCGACATACCTCATATATTTTCTCTTTTCAAAAATGTGACATCCAAAGTTCAGTACCTCACATAAGAATGTGATGAACTATTTTTTTTCCAAGTTAAAATAAATCCAATCTGAAGGCACTCCCCGTAAGAGTTAAACGTTCAATCCCACGGGATGCCACCCCCAGCCCCAACTCTCCATCATGCAGTTATGACAAAGGGAGGACTGGGGATTAGGAGAAAGATTTATGTAAACCCGTCAAGATGGCTGGGGTTACCTTGAAAGGACGCTGCATATCTGGGCGTTTGTATCGAAGATAAATCAGCCCAGCGACTGCCAGCCCAATAAAAAGCCACCTGGCAAAGCTGAGGAAATTCAGAAGACTGTAGAGGTCACCAGAGAAGAGCATTATCATTGTTAAAGGGTGCTGGAGGGAAAAGGCAGAAAAACCAAGATTGGCGGATTAGAACACTGCAAACAAACACCTCCACACCACACATTACTAGTATCTTGGTCACATGATCCATGCTGACCAACTGTCAACACAGTTAGAACCTAGATTCAGTTAACCTATTTTCTATATTCTGCTCTCACAACCCCACTACACACCAGAGACCCTGTGAGAGAGCCATCCTCATTACCCTGCAAACAAGTGGAATCATGTAAGAGCGTGCTATTTTGTTTCCTAGTTCCTTGTACAGTTGAAAGAAGAGAACAGACCGGGTTTTCAAAGAGTAAAAGACAGGATATCCAATGACTCAAAATGTAAAGGCCCAGAGACTGAGATTAGGAAGTAAGTAGTAATAAAAATTTAAAATGCACTCAGTTGGAAAATATACAGGAAACTGTGAAAGTCTCCTGCTGAGCTCTTGACTGCATACACACAGGAAACACAGCCACTTCTAGGTGACCCTGTTGGCTCCCGAATGCAAAACGATGACCTTTGCTTCTTCCACATTTGCTCTCCCCGTGTGCCTGCCGTGTGTGACCCTCAAGATTGTGGAAAAGAATGAAGTGCGGAGATCAGCAGAGTAAGTCCCTGCAGCTGCACATGCCAAGGACAGCATGACTGATAGCAGAGGCTTAAAAGGAAAGCCCTCTTCACGGAGTAATACATTCTGTTCCCACAAGTGACTTGCACTTCCAGATATGCACAGAGAATGTGCGTACCTTAAAAAGAAATTTCAAGGAAACATTCTGAAACAAATTAAATGCGCAGGGGAAAAAAAAATGTTCAAGGTATTCTATAATATTCCTGACAGCAGATTCTAGTGGAGAAAAACGTTCCAAAAACGTGGGTAAAAATGAATATAACATTGCCAATGGGTATCTGCGGACTTTTACACCTCCTACAATCTTTTGTGTCCCACATTTCACAAACATTATTCTCTACAAAAAGAGTTCTACAACTCAGATTTCAGTTGTGGTGCTTCAATTTCTTTTCTGTCGGGTTGCTCTCAAATGTTTCACTTTTAATCACAGAATCATTGCACTGCCTAGGATTTCACTGATTCTTTGCATGGTTTTGCGTACATTTCATTATAAGGGGCCTATGATAAGACATCTGGGTAATCTGGTGCTGTGGCTTCCAGCTCTGCTCTCAGAGCTGAAATTTGTGACCCTACACCCTATTCTGGGAGGCTCTATGACAGCGAGAGGTGCCGTCTGATCATTTTCCTGCAACCTCGCAAATGCCTACCAAGGTAAAAGAGAAATGGTGTGACTGTTACCCCAAAGCATCAAACACTCGTCAGCATCACTGAGGAAAGGAAAGCAACAGGAAATATCCTGCCTCTCAAACTCCTCGACACCCCGAGAGCCGATTCAGTAATGGATGGGAAAGGAAAGCATTGTCTGAGAAATCTGGCTTGAATTCCTCTGTGCTAACTTGTTATTTGAGGTTATATCGAGATATACTTGTGAATATGCATTACCAAAACAATAACAGCTGGCAGAGGAGTGTGCTTGCGGACATGAATCATGGAGAGGATTTCTGGAAGGTGACCCTCTCGAGACGCAACATAGAATAACCTGATGGGAGAAAAATGTGGGTGGAGTTCACTGTATAATTGATTATTTCAAAGGGAAAATCCAGAAACCACAGAAAAAAAAAACTTGCATCTTATTCATACCAAATGGTTAGGAGCTGTTTCGGTGATAACTGAGGTTTCATTTTTCAGAGAAAATGTCATAAGAAATATGAATTTGAATTTTACAAAATCTGACAACATATTATATTATTCTTTGAGGAGAAAGAATAGCAATATCTGTCTAATCTTGTTCCTTACATACACATAGATATGATGAATTTAGCTTTAAATTTAACTTTAAATACATATGGTGTCAATTCAGTCCAGCAAACATACATACACACACTCACATAGCATTCATAATTATCTGACTAGATTTTAATCTTATCATATTACAACAAAAGGAATTTTGCATCAAACAAAACGAAGGAGATACAGATGGTAGGGTGGTGATGTTCAGTGTCTATATTTTTCTTGGTAACTTTAAAGAAACAAAGATTTTATCAGTAGAAATAAAATGCTATTGCTAGACTCTGTAGACATACTATTAAAAAAAAAAAAAGCCACATGCCCATCTTCAGAGCAGGCTATGCGTAGACAAGCAGTGCCCTCTAATGGGCAGAATAAAATAAACTGTTGATAATAGGAACAGTAAGGATCCACAGCCTTGCATGTCCCTTTAAAAACAACTGGTTTGGAGTCACTATTTCTTTTCTTTCTAAAGTTATCCTTATCACATCCAATTTCAAAAACAGAAATGTGTTTCTGGAAATTCGTGAACCCACTCACCTGGAGACAGCAAACACACCTCCATTCATGGAGCCAAAGCAGGAGAGGGCCACAAAGATCGGAACTGCTAATGAGAAATTTCCCAGGAGCCGCTCAGAAAAGGTCTAGTGAAAGAAGAAAAGAAAAAAAGGCAAATTAATGCTTTGCCAGAAAGTGGAATAAAATGAAACAATTTAGGCCAAACTTGCTCTATGACTTTCTATTAGCCTGCTGATACGTGGATGTTTTATAATCCTTCTCTGTGGCTAGGGTCAGACTAACTCCACAGACAATAATCAAAAGCAGGTGCCACAGCACTGCTTGTTGCAAAACTATGGGCAAAGGTCTAAACAATCACCTTCTCTCTCCTTTCAAAAAGCAATGATCCATTTGCCGAATCTTTATCAACTGTGATGTGTGTCATCTCTGACCCTGGTAAGTGGAAAAAATGCAGTTCAGAAGTTCAGCTTTGGAAGCCAGAAATCCTTCTGCACAACACCTTCTCTTTAGCGCAAAGGCCACATTTTTATACGGATGCACACATGTACACTAAGAAGTATTTGTAGATATTTGTTTCATATACCAATATACTCTCAGGGGATTAATAATTGATGATGTGATCACTTATAGCATATACATGATTAGCTCTGAAAATCGTTTTCCCAGAAAAATAACACTAGCTGAGCCTCTTGGTATGGAGTCACATCCTCCCCCTTAGGGATCTGTCAGTTCATTCTGTGGTTTCCTATTTAAAGCTGGAACACAAATACAAATCCAACACACCACTGAAAGTATGAAAGATAAACAAAAATTCTGAAATTTATTTTTGTGTCGTGGTATGTACGCAATACCGCAAATTCCCATGAAGGATGTATTGTCTCAAAAAACGTGGGACTCTGCGATCGACCTTGACGTGACTGGTGCTGTATAATTAATGGAGCACATTATGTCCAAAGAATAAGTGCTGCCCTTTGTCTGGAGAGATGAAATGACTGACCTGACAGCAATAAGCTTTGTACATTTGATGGTCTGATAGGACTTAAAGCAGTTGGAAGTCTTATTTTAATATGGTGAACTCACACATAAGTTCATATGAAATGAGATAATTTATTCTCTTTGGATGTTGCTGATGTGAGGTAACACTATGTTAAAAGGAACTGACATCCACTGATGGGAAGTTCATTGTTATGAGGTCGTGAGTGAATGCTCTCTTACTAGCTAAGTTTTTAGCAATAAAAAAAAAAAGCATGTGACACAGAATACCAGCCCTAATACATGCTCTTCAGCAACAAAGATAGTCTTAAAGTCAAATACATTTTGGAAAATGATGTGTATCTAGTTTCTAGGGAGTTAAAATGTCTATTAGCATCTTTAATATTCCAAAAAAAGTACCTTAGCAATTGTTTAACTTTGAATAACCAAGTATTTTCCCCAATTTATTAATATCCTTGGATTAATATACAATATGTTACACTGGCACAAACATGTGGACACATGATCCACGTGAAAATTCTTAAGTTATACCTTGGGAAAAGGCTTCAAAGTTATCATGTGACTAGCTTACAAACAGAAAAGAGTGCATAATAAATTGTAATTTTCATACCTAGAAAAGGCATTCATTAAGACTCAGAAACTGCCCACTTCCCCTTAAAGAGAGGGTTTCAAGCATATATGCGTGGAAATGCTTTCCAAGAAATTAAAAATAAAGGGACATCACAAAAAGAATCTATCTGCATTGGTAAAATGGAATATGCTAAGGTGTGCTCTAAATTTTTAAAATATTCATTTTCATTCAGGTCAAGAAAAGATTACTGAATTTCAAAACACTTTCTGCTGGAGGGAACTACTACAAAATTGCATCAACTCATTAACCTAAATTCAAATTGGCATTTTCCCAACTTGGACTTACCACTGCCACTGCATTTGAAAGCAACAGCTCCTCAGCGCTAATGGTTGTAAAGTAGGCCACATTTGTTAGCACGTAGCCAATGGTGACGATGGCCATGGATATACATATTGCAAGAGGAACAGTTCTGAAATGCACAAAGAAATCACCTATTAGTAATGTTTTCTTAGTCACTGACACTAGAGAAGATAACAGACTATATAATGGGATCCATGATAATTATAGGCTCTGTTGGGTATACCTAAACATTTCATCAGGGTAAAGTGCTACATGTTCCTTTGTAATTTAATAAGGTCCCTGGGAAAAGATTCATCTGTCTACACTGCTGCTATGCCCCTGGAACATATGGATCTACTCCATTCATATACTCCATAAATGCTATAACAATATTCCACAAACTTAAGCACACATCAGAACCACCTAGAAGCCTTGCTAAAACAGACTGCTTGGGTAGGCATTGTGGCAGAGCAGGTTAAGCCACTTCCTGAAATGCCAGCATCCCATGTAAGCTCTAGTTTGAGTCCCAGCAGCTCCACTTCCTATCCGGCTCTCTGCCAGGAAAGCAGTGAAAGACGCCCTGAGTGTTTGGGTTCTTGCCACCCATGTGGGAGACCCAGTGGATTTCCAGGATCCTGGCTTTGACCTGGCCCAGACCCAGCTATTGTGGCCATTGGAAGAGTGAACCAGATGGTGAAAGACCACTTTTGCTTTCTCTTTCTTTGCCCGTCTCTAAACTTTGCCTTTCAAATAAATAAATTAAATAAATCTTTTTAAAAAATATTTTACTTATTTATTTGACAGGTAGAGTTACAGACAGTGAGAAGCAGAGTCAGAGAGAGAGAGGTCTTCCATCCGTTGGTTCACTCCCAAAATGGCCGCAACAGCTGGAGGCTGTGCCAATCCAAAACCAGGAGTCTCCTCTGGGTCTCCCACATGGGTGCAGGGGCCCAAGGACTTGAGCCAACTTCTATTGCTTTCCTAGGCCATCAGCAAAAAGCTGGATTGGAAGAGAGGAAGCTGGGACTAAAAGCTGTGCCCAGAAAGGATGCTTGTTCCATAGGCGGAAGACTAACCTGCGCAACAGCGCTGGCCTCAATAAATAAATCTTAAACACACACACACACAGAGAGACAGAGAGAGAGAGAGAGAGATGGCTGAACCCTACCCCAGTTTCTGATTTGCATTTCCCCCAAGTCTGTAGGTGATTCTGAGACAGCTGACCAGGGGAGCAACACTTTGAGAATCACTATCTTCTAATACCTAACATGAAGAGACCACTTTTACACCTTTCTGATACTAGTCTCAAAACCATTTTCCACACTCAGTGTTTTCCCCTTCAGAGGCTTCCCTTTTCAGCAAATAAGTGCAGGCTTTTTGGAAGAATGATAAAGGAATATGTCTACCTTTCTACATGATGGCAATAATATTTTTGTATATCATATACAAGAAGTACAGAAGTGTTCACAATAATGACTTTGCACTGCCCTGCTGTGAGTTCAAAGGAAGCTCAAGATCATGAGTATCTAATAAAGCCACAGCACAGATAATCCCATGAAATTAGAGGTGACGTGCTGTGAAGAACAGATGACCAGACAGTGCTGACATTGTGTGGCATCAAGAAGTACCCAGCACAAATGCAATATTATGTCTTCATTTAATGCGCTGGGAAAGTTGGGAAGTTACTGACCCTAATAATTTGATTCCATGTTACCGATACACATTACTTGCTTAACATAATCGCCTCTTCAGACTCTTTCCAGCTCAGGCAAGTTAAACCTTCAACTCCCTGCACAAAGGCGGATCGGTTTTAGCAGCAGTGCTTATCAGCCCTTATGGAGCCTTCACCCTGCTGGGTGCCACTAATGAAGACCTCAATATAATTTCTTCCAAGGTGAAATCACAGTTCAGAACCAGGGGGGAAGAAAAGGCACAGCCTGCCTCACTGCCCAGACCGGGTGTGTTTAGAACACGAAGACCCAACTCATTATGCCGAACAGCAACATCCCCTGATGAGAACAGGCAAACCCAGCCAGTCAGAGGCTGCCATTCATTATTCTGCTTGGAGCCTGACACTTCCCCTGCTCCCCAAAGTCTTATGCCTTGATGGGGGAATACATTGACCTCCAAATCCTGGCATCCTGATAGGAAAATAGCAGATGCTCCTGTGCCCCTGTGTGAGGAAGGTCCTATGGGATACTCTGTTAGCATCATCATATGCATTGCTAGTTGTGATTGATAAATGTTGGAGTCAAGCCGAGGAAATCACAAGGCTAGCTCAATGCAAAGAGTCTGAATAGCATAAAGCAAATGAAAGACTAATTCAGTTTCCTGGAAAGAAATGCTATATGTAAATGCCAAAGGGAGAGTAGAGAACCAGGAAAGTAGACCTGCAGTTTTTCTACCACTCACTGTATTATTTTCAACTTGAATCTTTTCAAATTTTATAATATCTCCAGATGAGGAATAAATTCTTTCTATGGAAGAAACACAGAGGGAGAGCAGGAGATAAAAAACTCTCAACTCCTTAAAAGCATATGATTAATATATATAAATCTTCCTCTAATAAAAAGGATTAGACTAGGGGACTTGCTATTAAGTGCAATGAAGTTGCCTGACCTGTCCAGGATAGGGAACACTATTACATCACACAACACTGCAAAACAGCAGAAACAAGTCTGAAAGTTGGGACCATGGCCCTCCAGCACAGAATGGAGCCTCCCAGCCCCACTCCTCCAAGTTGGCATCCCTACTTGTTCCCTGCCTAGATGTTATGGTCACTCAGGGAGATTTGCTAAATGAATCTTAGCCGAAGGGATCCTAAACATACCAACCTTCTAAGTTAGTTTCCCTTCTCTCTCAGTTTGTTAATAACAAAATCAGCAGCAGCAGCTGTTGCTATTGGGCTACTCTGTGCCCAGCTTTTATGAAGCACTTTCCTTATTGGTCCCATTTTATCACAGAAAAAAAATTTTGTGAATTAGAAACATCAAAGAAGATTATGGTGCAGCAGTTCCGACATTGCTTGGGACACCAATAGCCCATATAGAAGTGCCTGGGTTCAAGTCCTAGCTCCACTCCCAGTCCAGTTTCATGCTAATGAGCACCGTGGGAAGCAGCAAATGATGGCTTAAATACTTGCCTCCCTGTTAACCATGTGGGAGTCCTGGATTGAATTCCCAGCTCCTGGCTTCACCCTGGCCCAGACCTGGGTGTTGTGCATATTTTGGGAGTGAACCAGAGGATGCAAGACTCCGCGCTCTCTCTCTCCATCTCTCTCCCTCTCTCTCTCCCCCTCCCTCTCCCTCTCTGCCTTTCAAATAAATACACTTTTACTTTTTTAAATGATGTATTTATTTACTTGAAAATCAGAATTAGAGAGAGAGAGAAAGAGAAAAAGACATAGAGACAGAGATCTTCCATCTAGTGGTTAACTCCCCAGATGGCATCAATGATCAGGGCTGGGCCAGGCCAAATGCAGAAACCAGGGGCCATGTGGGTTTAGGGGCCCAAAGACTTGGGCCATGCTCCACTGCTTTCTCAGATGCATTAACAGGGAACTGGATCGGAAGTGGAGCAGCCAGGGCTTGAACCAGTGCCTATATGGGATGCTGGTGCTGCAGATGGTGGCTTAACTTAAAATTAAAAAAAGAAATGTCAGCACTACTTTACACATGAGGAGATAGAGTGTTCCAAAGTTTAAATAATTGTTCAAGGATATACTGGTCATAGGAAAAGCAGAATTCAGCTGCATTTTACACACACACACACACACACACACACTCTTACCTTGAAATCAGGGCATTTTAGTCACTAATGCATGTGAATGCCTAAACTCTATTCATTTTCAGGGAAATTATAATTATTAAATATAAAGTTTATTTGCAGCACTCTGGCCTCAGAATCAGCCCTTAAGGCATTTGGATCTGGCTAAAAAGCTCATGAGAGTATTTCAGACATGGAAAGCCAAGACACTGTGGCAAACACACACACACACACACACACACACACAAACAAAAAAAAAAAAACCTAAATGAAAGATCTCTGTGAGTGAGAGAACTTCCACTTTGACTATAACCTTGTCTAAATAAGATCGGAGTTGGCAAACTCAAAAGGCTTCCATAGCCTTGGCAACTCATGACAAGAGCCTCGGGTGATTACTGACATCATAAACAAAAATGTCAATTGTTAAATCAACAACAGGAGTCATTGTGCACTTACTCCCTATGTAGGATCTCTGTCCTTAATATGTTATACTATGTGAATTAATGGTAGAACTAGTATTCAAACAGTACTTTATACTTATTATAAAACAGTGAAACATTGGAATAATGTGATGCAGAAAAATGATAAAAACCGTGAAACATTCCCTGCTTTGTACAAGGAATACGTTACTCATAAGAACTTTCAAATAAACTTTATATTTTTTTCTTTCTTTTTTTTAACTTTTATTTAATAAATATAAATTTCCAAAGTACAGCTTTTGGATTACAGTGGCTTTTTTCCCCCATAAAGAAAAAAATATAAAGTTTATTTGAAAGTCCTTATGAGTAACGTATTCCTTGTACAAAGCAGGGAAAATTCCATATTTTTTGATCATTTTTCTTTATCACATGATTCCAATGTCAAGTGATGGTTTTCACAAGGTTTCACTGTTTAAGAAACAGGCATTTTTATTATCCATTATTTAGAAAGAAACAGAGTCGTTCTTAAATTCTCCCAGATAAAGCTTCTAGAAAAAGAGTCAACCAAGCATACTTGTCAAATAGGCTGAAATGGATCATTAGCAACTTTACTATCAACCAAATGTACTATATAGATATGGGGTGGGAGGGAGGATCACAGGGACTTAAAGTAAAAATGAGAGGCCTAATCTTGTAATGCACAATATACTCAGTGATTTCTCTCTAGTTAGACAAAATTAAGCCATGAGAATGGGAGTGGGTGCGGCAAAGCAACAACCAGCTTCTGTCCTTAGATTCTACTTCACTTTGACTAAGGGAAGAGGGCAGGGGCTCTCTTAGCCATTGTGGCATAAAGGGCATCATTTACAGAGGGGAGCAGATGACTGGTTCACAAGGGCTTCGCACCACATGGTTAACTCCTAGGTTTCAAGCATCAAAGAATAAG